TCTCCCTCTCCCTCTCTCTCTCTCTCTCTCTCTCTCTCTCTCTGTCCCTTTCTGGTCAAAATAAAATAAAAATAAATAGGGACCAGTAGTTGGTGTAATGGCTATGTTGCTGGACTCCCACGTAGTCGACTGATTCGAGTCCCTGACCTAGTGGCTTAAATTCATGCTAGGCGCATGTGTGTGCATACCCAAGATCCCGAGAGGAGAATAGAGAAAAAGGGACTGCTGCGTGACAATCCCTCCTGGAGGGTGATTTCTCACTTTCTGTCTCTCTCTGTCTTTCTGGTGAGTGCATGCAACCTAATAGCAAAACCTCTCCAAAAATTAATTAATTAATTAATTAAAAATAAATAAATAAAGTTAAATAAAATAACCATAAGTAAAAGCCACATAGCCAACTCCGTGGTTTGAATCCTGGATCTGGTGGCTTGAAAATCACTCTGGGTGCATCTACATGCATGCCCAAAATCCCAAAAGGAGGATGGCATGCATGCACATGCATCCAAAGTGGAGGACAAGAGTGACATGACCATCCTCCCTGGGAAGATGACTTTCTCTCTCTACCTGTCTCTGCTTCTCTCCAGTGAGTGTACATGTCCTACAGGAAAAACTATCTTTAAAAAATAATAATAATTAAATAACATTAAAAATTATTTTTAAAACTGCATTTGACTTATTATGAAATCTGAGTGCTTAGAAATCTCATTAGCTGATTTAAAGATATGATGATGAGTCACATGACTCATTGCCACCAACCATGAAATATGATAGCTTTTACATCTGAGAGAAGTGAACACATTTCTGATAGCACTCTCTCAGGCTAAATAAAAAACTAAGTATGAAACACTTTGGATGATTTCTGCCCAGTTGGAACACATTCTGAGATACATTTTAAAAGTTAAAATTGTCAATGCCACCTATTGGTAAAAAAGTAAAATTGCAAATATGTTTTACTAATTTGCATAATAGCAAAGACATTAGGGAAAGTAATATTTAGTTATTGCTCTGCTTGTTGTGATTATTTCAAATTGGAATGTTTGCAAATATGTAGTTTTGTTGACTTATTTTTGCCTGTGTTTTAGGGAAAAAGTGCTACCATTAAAATTACAATAGGTATCACAGAAAACAACCAGAGAATATTAAGGATGGAAATGTGACAGTGACTTTAGGTACCAGGAACTCCAGAGGTCTCGAAAGTTTTACAAATTCAGCAGACTAAATCAATAAGGATACAAGTTCTAACACCTCAACAAATATTAATGAGCAACAAGATGTATCTGTGGTTAATGGGATTCCAGCATTTGTGAAATAATGCTGAACTTCGTTGTTTAAATAAGTACATTAGAATCATGCTTGAACCCATGTAGAATTCGTTTATTGAGTCTGACCTCTGAATTTCCTTTGTTAGAAACAAATCTTTAAAAGGAAAAAAGAAACCAAAACTTTACATCTATTAATTTGTCTATTTCAAATACTCCACTATGCAGCACCGCACAATTTTTATTTATATTCATAATGCCTGAAGGATGTAAGAATGGAAATAACTAATAATCATTAAATAGCACATTGCCATTTGTGGGAAACTAGATGCTAATACTGAATCTTAACTGGTTCTTATGTTTTAGAAGATTTTAGCTCACTAGGCTAAAATTCTAGGCTTACTATAAACTAATTAAACTAATGCTGCTTACAAACTTTCTTAAAAGATTCCGGTGAATATATGTCCCTACACATAATAGGTATTTATAAATCTTACCAGACTAAATATACTTTTATGACAATTTTTATATTCTCAAAATGGCAGCCTGATGTAACACCATAATTTGTTAGTCATTCATCAAGATTGCATTTTACATTAACACACACTAAACTCTGTCAGATTTTTAGGGATGGTTAAGTAGCTGCCCATATTTATAGAGATTAGCACTATTAGTTTTATAAGCTAATATAATTAAAAGGTAAGGAACATGGTCTGAAGAAATCACATAAAACTAATGGATACAGATATAATTCATAAAGGAATATTTTACATTACTAGATGAAAACACAGTCATTGCACATAGGCATAATTACTTCCTTGTTGAATACAGAGCATTGGAACTAATATTTCACAAAGTAGCATTTGCTGCCTAGAAGCAAGCCATTTCTAGCACCTACAAAATGGAATCTCTCGAACTGGTCTTACTTTGACCTGATGACTCCACTGCTTTTTAAAAACGAACAATCATGGTTTTCAGTCCTTAAATCATAAATAAATGGTAAAGCTTCTGTGTAGAAGGGATTGCTATCACATTTGATTTGGGGGTCAAAATATCAATCCAGACTGAGAAATAACAACCATTTTTGAAAGCTCTTCAGAAGTGGTACCTGTGAGAACATTAGACAGATTGGCTATTAAGAAAGCACAAATTATATGCTTAGCCATTTGTCTGACATACCATATAAATGTAGAAATTACTGTTGTGGGGAACCAGAACTACTAATTTGCTATCTCACAACCAAAGCCTCAGCTACCCCTCCTCTCACCTTGACTCTTTTTGCTTTCTAAACATTGGGAGAGTTGTGCATAAAAAGGCAAAAAAAGACTACACGTGGCAGTCCCACTTGCTAGTAACCTAGTTAGATACCTAACAAACTTCTGCACATCAAGTTCTTTCCTCCTGTTGTAAGAGACAACGACAACAACAATGCTGCCACTATTCAAACAATGGGTAACTGGCAGGCTGTGCTTTCCAGGGTTCTGCACTCTTAACTCCATTTTCTGGTTTCCATTTGGACTTTGGTTTTTGTTTATCCTTTGTTCTTTCCACTATTCTTGACCATTATATCGCCTGTGTCAAAAAGTCTGCCAGTGGGGGCCAGCGGGTGACATGGTGGTTAAGGCACTGGACATTCCCAAATGGTTGACCACTATGAGTCCCGTACCTGATAGCTTGCTTTCTCACTTCCCCTCTCTCCCTTGCGCTCTCTCTCTCTCTGTCTGTCTGTTTCTCTCTGGTCACATTAAAAATAAATGAACGAATAAATAAAAATTTTAAAAAGATGTCTGCCAACAGTTAGTTATGAGGTAAAAGAAGTCCTACTGGTGGGTAGCATGGACACAGGAGGTGGGGAAAGGAGAGAGGACTGACTGTTCTTTTCAGTTAGAATGGTCAATAATGAAGCAAGTGAAGGTGCCCTAGGAACAGCGTACTTACAAGCTCTCTATATTGTTACCTCAACCACTGATCACATATCAAAACTTACCTTGGTCATCTTCTTTCTTATCTTTCATGATAGACACTTGCTTTTTAGAGGGCAATGTCCCCTAAATGCCTTACTTCTAACAGTTTTATGCAAAAATGAAATAAACACAGGAAAACAGAGTACGTATTTGCCTGAACTCACTCCTCCTCTGGTATTCTGATCTTGGACACAAAATTGTCAATACTAATTTTAATTGCCAGCATCTTTGAGGAGAGACAAGTACCAAAATGATTCCTCGTGGAGTGTCTACTGAGTGAAGCCAAAGACAGTACTTCGTATCCTGTTTTGGCATGCATGGAATCTCATGAAGATTGGAAAAATCAAAAGAAATTTTGAAGCTATCGAGTAAAAGATATGATGAAAGAAAAGTAGCAGATTTTCAAATACATTTGTGGCAGGCAGACGGCATATTAAACCTCTCATGTTAAAAAAATTTCAAGTCAAAACTCATTTTGCATTTGTTAACACAATTGAGGGTTTTATATTAATCTAGATGCCCCTTCCAAAAATAAAAATTAACCTATCTTAAATACAAGTGATAAAGACAGAGAGAGATCAAGTTTTCTCATAAAGGACACAATATAAAGAGACAATTTTCACACCTCCTTCCCCAGATTTCAAGCCTCGAGTTCAGTTGAAAAGTAATGATCAAGTCTTCAAGCACAACCCCAAAGGAAGTAAGCAGATCCTTCAGTCTTACCCATAGGTCTGTTTCTGTCCCTGAGGTCCCTGTGGCTGGGGTGTCGATAGGAGTCCCTGTAGTGGTGGGCAATGGCCATATCATCCAAACGGTAATGCTGAGGTGGAGGTGGGGTGGGGTGAGGCAGGCCATTGGGCTGGTAGGATAAGCCGTTATTTGGACTGTACCGCTGGCCTGGACTAATAGTGCATGGTCGCTTGCTTGGATGTTCTGAGTGCAAAGGCTCTCTGTCAAAGCCATTTTCTTTGGTTCTGAGGGGGGAAGAAAGAAAGTTTGTTTTGTAATGTACTCAGAAACCAGCACAGTTCAAACACTCATACTTGAGCTTGTAATATAAACAGAATATGACTTTGTTAGCCAGGAACTTTCTAAACTCTGACTCCCAGAAAGCCCATGAGAATTCACTGAAACCCATGTCAAGGGCTAAAGGAATACAAGACTGTACAAAGGAGGAAAACGTTTTGTGTCTCGTCACATCAGCAAACATCTTTTCAGTGGAAGCTTATGCAGTTCAGCCATAAATAAGAGGAAACCCAATTTCCCTTTGTAAAAAATATTTTTATTCAAATGAGAGCATTTGATTTCTAACAAGTTACTCTATGACCAATTGCATTTGGTGAAGATCCAGCAAGGTAAACCACGGTCACTCTCTTGATAAATGCTTAAGGTACAATTCTTCCACGTGATAATCTGAATATCTTGGCCGAAAACATCTAAGAGCTGTGTTCTCTAATACAATAACCACATGTGGATGTTTAAATTAAAACGTAAGTTTATAAAAATTAAATAAAGATTCAAATCCAGCTCTTCAGTAGCAATAGCCATATTTCAAGTGCTTAAGAAGTCACCTGCAGCTAGTGGCTATGGTACTAGACTGAACGATTAGAGAACTTTTCTACGCCACAGAAAGTTCTGTTAGAAAATGATGATCGAGCTGAGCTAATGCAATATAAAATGCAATGTCTGGGACCTCAACATTATCTTGAGTCCTCAAGATCATCAAACTGTAATCATACAGAGCTAGCTGGGACTAGAAGGAAGATCAAAGTCAACTCCTTTCTGTTAAAGTTGAGGAAACACTCCCAGAAAGCTTGTGTGTTCTGTCTGGTCAAACAGCAGGACAAGCACACCCTGACTGCACTTCATCATGTGACGCACAGACCTTTTAACTTGGCTTTCAGAAGAAAAGCATGCTATGAGACCTGATAGCCAATCACTGTTCCTTGATTTGCAAACAAAAGTAGAGCTAAAGAAATATTTTCTAGCTGAATAGATCCCTTCAGCTTAGAGACAAGTCTAACACACTCGGGAAAATAGGAACAAACCACACCCAACTTTGAAATCACAGCTCCCAAGTCATCTGTTTTCTCAGCAGCTGGCTCTCCTCACAAGACTTGCACTCTATCCTTAGACCAGTGGTAACATCTGTATCTCTAGGGAAATTTCCTCAAAAGAATTCTAAAAACTCACAGTGGCCACAGATTTCTGCACAACTTTTCTATTACGACATATCCTATTTTCCTTACCTTTAGTGGTAAACTTATTCTGATACCAGAAGGATCCACGTGGACAGTGAATCAACAGCAGAGATTGTTAGGGGCAACAGAATTCTCTAATAAACCATCCTTTCTGTCCCTTTAGAGAAGAGCCCCAGTGACAATTTATACACAGCAGAGTGAGAAGGATAAAAGAGTTAGAGTCGCAAGGTACAGGAATATAAGGGACTGAGGAAGAGTCTGCAGAGTTTAATGTGAAAAGATGACATGCCCACTGTATACAGAAGAAGGATGATCTGTTCTGGACACAGGAGACTGGCCAATATTAGAAATGACAGCAGAACATAACCCCATCCTCCCAGGGGTGGCAGCCAGAAGTCTTAGTGAAGCTCCCATCAAAGCATGTGTCTGCACTGAAAACATACTGACTCCATATCTATTGATCATTGATATCAGACTGAAAAAATCCAGTAGACTCAGACATTACCTAAATGCATTGCTTCAAAATAATATTTCAATGAAACAGTTTAGAAATAGATTTATCATCTAAAAGCATATCTATATGATTCTAATCTGCATTTCCATATCTCATACATTTCTGAAAAAATAGACTTTAACATTCAATGCATATTATCAGCATAAATCAGTTGGAAAATACTGAAGACTATTAGTAGCCATGAACATAATGCTAACACAGCACCTACCTTACTGGCAGTGTGGTGTAGTGGAAAGAGCACTGGACTGGGAATCAAGAGACCTGAGATCTAGTCCTGGCTCTTCCATGACTAGCTGTGTGACATTGGGCAAGTCACTTAACCTCTCTGGACCTCAGTTTGCTCATCTGTAAAATGAAAGGGTTGGACTAGATCAGTGGTTTTCAAACTATGTTACCTGAGGTGCTTAAAGGATTCTACAGGGAATAAAGAACTTTTCTCCCAAACAACTAAGAGTTAAAGGGCCAGAGGAACCCACTTATTCATATCTGTTTTTAAAACTGGGGTTCCACCTAAGATTGAATTTTAAAGGAAAAAGTCTGCTGCTAAAATCAAGTTTGAAAACCACTGGACTAGACAATTTCTGAGGTCCCTTCTAGTTTGAAAATTCCACAATTCAGTTTTTCTACATTTACAGCTTAATGTCATGGTTTATGTAGATTGAAACTCACAGGGCTGATGGTCCTCTGGCCAAACCATAAGTATCTAAATCAACCATTTTAGCCAAGTACTAAGGTTTTTGCTTTGAGCAATGTGTTATTTAGAGATTAGTTTTTGTGCACAAATTTTTAAATATCCTCTCAATATCTTAGAGAAGACTCAGCATTTTTAAGTATTAAAATACCTTTGACCTACTGGTGTCAAACCACTCCAACTTTCTGATTTTGTCTCTCCTTGATCAATGACAAAAACACGTAACAGTAGAAGAACTCTTAAAATGGTTAGATGTTATTTATGTTCATTCTCAGATGAGCCTCTGATCAGTTATATTGCATCAATGGTCCAATTATATGAAAAATGAATATCAGTTTTTTCCTAAAACAAGGGCAGCAATGACCTAAGAGTTAAGGCTGGGTCCTGAGGCTGTCTCTTAACTTCAGTCAAGTCCTTAACTCTCCTCTCTGTGATCCAGGTACTCTGCTAGCTATGGAAACAATAAAGTCCATCTCCTCACAGAGGTAGTAACATTTTTTCAGCAAAGCTTTAACACTTTCACACCAACAGAAATAAAGCTATGAAGGTTCTCCCTGGTGCTTCCTCCAATCATTCATGTCTAATTATAAGGCCATGCCTGTGTATGTCCACAAAGATAACAAAAACAACTTAATTGCTACTTTTTTGTCTGCTTCTCAGAAATGACTACAACTGTCTACACTCGTTTGCTCAGACAAACTCCATATTTGCTGTTTTACCTGTTGCCCTTTTAAAGGTGTTAGGTAAAACTAACAAGTACTTCTCATTATCCCATAGCAGAAAACCCTTGAAATGATTTCAATTCTAGTGGGAAATCCATCCACTCATAGGTTTCTGGAAGATAGTTTGTGTATGTTTTTAAAATCTACCTGAGAATATTTTACCTCTCTACCAGGAAGCCGTTTCTTGAACATAATCTAACCATTTCAGCATTTAGATCCCAATCACTTCTCTCTTAAGGTCCAATCTCCAGAAGACAGAGAACCACTCAGGACTCAGCAGGGTAACTTTATTTTCTGATTTCAGTTTCCCATCCTAGTAAAACAGTACTAATAGAAAACAACACTTAAAAAAAAAAAAATCAAGAGGCAAACTAATTTACACATTACTCCACCTCAGGCTGATTTTTTCAGATTCCTCAATGATAGGGCTTGCAAACTGATTATTTGAGAAACTTTTTAAAAACTCTGTATGAAATACTGGGCACCAGCAGTTAGCATAATGGCTATGTCGCTGGACTCCCACGTAGTCAACTAGTCGACCACGGTTTGCGTCCCGGACCCAGTGGCTTAAAACCCATGCCGGGCACGTGTGCGGGCGTGCCCAAGATCCCGAGAGGAGAATGGAGAAGAAGGGATTGCAGTGTGACCATCCCCCCAGGGGTGATTTCTCGCTTTCTGTCTCTATGTCTCTCTCTGTCTGGCGAGCGCATGCGCCCTATAGCGAAAACCTAGCCAAAAAAAAAACAAAACAACAACAACAACAAAAAAAAACTCTGTATGAAATATTTTAAAAGTCATGATTGGCTAATGCTTACTGATAATCGCTTAGTAATATTTATCTAAAGTAATTTAGCATTCAAAGAAATGGGAAGTATAAATGAAACGTAGTATAAAGTCATGACAGTAGAGTAAGAAGATAAATCGCCTAAATGATAGAAGTTGGTATAAGTTTTCCCTAGATTTTTTTTTTTAAGTGAGGAAAACATCACCCTAAAGATGATCTGGCCTAGCCTCTGTGGCCCAGTCAATGGCATAAGGAAACAGAATGGAAGCCACATCTGACCATGTGGCTGTTCGAGTCTCTGGCCTGGCTGGCCTGAGAACACGCTGGGAGCTTGTGCACATACGCAGGATGCTGGCAGGCTAGACCACTGGAGAAAGGACGCTTCAGCATAATGGAGCCCGTGAAGGGTGCTGCTCTCTCTCACATACACACTCTATCATGAATAAAAATAAATTTTAAAATATGTCTAGAGGAGGCAAATTGGTATTGTATGATAAACCGAAGGAAGGAAATGAAAAGATTTAAATTTGAATCTGAGTCCTGTTATAAATAAATTACAGGCCTTAGGCACTCACATATCTGAGTTCCAGCAGGCATTTCAAATCCAAACTGGCCATATTCTGCTCTTTCTGTACCACTCTCTACCTAGTCACCCAAGCAGAACTCTCCAACTTTCTTCTTCACATCCAAGTCCTACTGAGGATCACTTAAGCACCTCTGACACAGATCCCTCCTTCCTGCCCCAGGACACCTTTATTTTGGTGAGTCACACTGCTGGCCTACTTATGCCAACATCTCAGTCAGGGCCAGTTCTCAGTCTAGGCCAGGGCTTCCAGATGTGTTTGCTATTTGTCTCAAAAGCCATGTCCTATCTCTTGACTACAGTTCCTTGGGAAAGTTAATAGGCATAAGAAACAGTGGTTCTAAAATTCCTCTGAGATTTAATATTCTGTCCGGCATTGGGGATTTACATTCTTTATTTTATTCTTATGCAGTCACATGTTACTTAATGATGGGGATATGTTTGGAGGAATGCATCATTAGGTCATTAGGTAACATGAG